CAACTTCTTTCACAATGCTGGGGGCCTCAAATCAGCTCTGCCTAGGGGGACAAGAAGCAAGGAACAAAAGGTCACGCTCACCTGACCATGGTGTATCCTCAGAGTTTCCTGGGCTCAGCAAAGAAATTTCTATCACTGTCCAATAGGAGGCCTACACTTCTGCAATCAGATCCTTGGGATCACCAGCCTCTGTCCTTCAATTCTTTTTTTCTTTTCTTTTCTTCTTTTTCCTTTTTTTTTTTTTTTTTTTGTGGTACCAGGGATTAAATGGGGGAGGGCACTTAATGACTGAGCCAAATCCCAGAACTTTTTTTGTATTTTATTTAGAGATAGGGTTTCACTGAGTTGCTAAGGGCCTCACTAAATTGCTGAGGCTGGCTTTGAACTAGAGATCCTCCTGCCTCAGCCTCCCCAGCCACTGGGATTATAGGCACTCGCCAATGAACCCGGCTCTGTTCTTTAGTTCTGAGATGGTCTTTCTAGCTCTTTCCTCTCTGCACAGATGGGCCCTTGACTCCAAACCTCTGGCAGCAAGTCCCACTAACTACTGGGAGGATTCCAAGGCTTTGGCCACCCTCACCGTGGACACAGGCCTGGCCTCTGAGCTGCACAGAGTTCTAATGGCTGGTCAGGAGCCCCAGCCAAAGAACCCATTGCATAGATCAGTGTTTAGTTGTGATAAAGCTGAAAAGAAACATCTCAAGGCAGGAGACACTCTCAACATTAGATAGAATCATATGATCATATGAAATTGCCAATAACTTGCTGGTTTTGATCTACAAAAAATAAAAAGAAGGTAGAGCAGCCACAGAATCAATCTGTGGTGCCACCCAGTGGTCAGAGCAGGAAAGCAGCTGATTTCATTCATGATGACTGTGGTGACAATAGAGTAACTGATTCCTACAGCTCCCACTACTTGCACAGATAATTAAATGTTATTATTGTATTTATGGTAATAGTTCTGTACAGGTATACAATACAGCTATCCTGAGGTAACAGGCAGGCACTATTATTATCTCTATTTTAAATGAGAAAAATGAGGCTCCAGGGATGTAAGGGAGCCTCTGCTGTGACAGCCAGCACAGCCAGCATGAGAGGTGGCTGAAAAGCACCCAGACAGAACATCCCTCCTTCCCTCTAACTCCAAAAGTCACCAAGTCCTGTGGCTTATACCTACTGAATTTCCCAGAATTTGTTTTAAATATGTAAACAAGGTACAACAGTCAAAGTTTTAAAAAGATAACCAGAGGAAATTTCCTGCTATGGTTTGAATATGGTTTATCCCCTTTGAAAACTCATGTTCAAGTTTAATCCCCATGATAAGGCATTAGGGGGTGTAAGTTTAATCTGACTGTGGTGCTTAGAGGTGGGGTCTTAGGAAGTGGTTAGGGTTAGATATAGTGAGCAGTGTGGAACCTCTATGATTAAACATTGGTGGCTTTATAGAAGTGGGCAGAAGCAGAAGCAGTGGTGTGCATCCATCTATAGTCGCTGCTACTTGGGAGGCTGAGGCACGATGATCATTTGAGGTCAGGAGTTAGAGGGAAACATAATAGGACCCAATCTCAGGAAAAGGAGTACAAAGAAAAACCAAGAACAGGGCTGGGGCTGTAGCTGAGTGGTAGAGCACTCGCATCACATGTGTGAGGCACTGGGTTTGATCCTCAGCACCACATAAAAATAAATGAATAAATAAAGATATTATGTCCATCTACAACTGAAAAATATTTTTTAAAAAAGAAGAAAAATCAAGAACAAGAAGAGGGACAGAGACTAGAGAATATGGGCACAAGTACTCCCTGATTTTCACCACGAGATCCTCTGTGCCTCCTGGAGATTCTGCCAGCAGAAAACTATCATCAGATGCAGCCCATCAACCTCAAACCAGACTGTGAACCAAAGGAAACTTCTTTTCTTCATAATTTACCTAGCCTGTGGTATTGTGCTATTAGCAACAAACTGGACAAACACATTTCTCTACCTGTCATTTCTCTCAATTACACTATCAAGACAGCTTCTTTGGAGAAGGGCGTGGTAGCATATACCTATAATTCAATGACTTGGGAGGCTGTGGCAGAATTGCAATTTCAAGGCCAGCCTCAGCAATTTAGTAAGGTCCTAAGCAATTTAGTGAGATCCTGTCTCAAAAACAAACAAACAAACAAAAAAAAAAAAAAAACAAGGGCTGTGGATGTGGCGCCATAGTTAAGTGCCATTGGGTTCAATCCCCCCATGCAAAAAAAAAATAAAAAAAAAGAAAAAGAAAAAGAAAAAGAAAGAAAGGAAAGGAAAGACGGCATCCTTAGCTAGACATGGAGACACATGCCTGTAATCCCAGCTACTTGGGAGGTTGAGGCAGGAGGATCTCAAATTCGAGGCCAGCCTGGGTGACTTAGCAGAATTCTGTCTCAAAATAAAAAAAATAAAAAGGGTTGGGGATGTAGTTCAGTGGTAGAGTACCTCTGGGTTCAAGTCCCAGTACCTCCCCAAAAGAAACAGAGCCTCCTCACTGATCAGGCTGCCTCCATTCTGACCTCCCCTAATCCTCCTTTGCAACCAGCATAAACTATCTAAACTGCAAATCTAACTATAATTCTGACAAAAACATTTCAGCAGCCCCCATCACTCCCAGGATAAGTACACACTCCTGAGTGGGGTAGGGCCTCACTCCATCCAAGTTGCTTGCTTCTAGCCCACATTTCCCCCAACCCCTCCACACCCAGACCATTCAACCCACAAACAAAACTGCCATTGGATCTCGGCCTGGATTAACTGGTGCCCCTTCCTAGGTGTCTAGAGGCCTTCCTGCTTACCTCTAGACTAAACACAGTGGGGTTTTGGTAATGGTATGAAAATAAATCAAAGGGGAAAGGTAGTTTTTTCAAATACCTTTGGTTCAAGAAAATGAATATCCATATGGGGGAAAATGAGTCTTGGTCCTTACCTCAAACCATACATAAAAGTTAATTCAAATGTATCAGAGACTTGAACAAAAAGCAAAAAGTGCTTCAATTCTAGAAGAAAATATTAAGGTAAAAAGATTTCTTAAGACAAAAAGTATGAGCCAGCAAGGAAAAGTTTTAATAAATTGAATGCTGTCACAACTAGAAATTTGGTTCTTTGCAAGATTCCATTAAGATGCGAAGTCAAACCACAGGCTGCCATGGACTTTCAGGCACTGCTGGTGATGATATAAAACAGTGGACTTGCTTTGAAAAACAATTTCACAGCTTCCTATAAAATTAAAAACAGACTCACCACACAACCAGCGAGCCCATCCACTTCGAGGTACTTACCCAAGAGAAATGAAAACATAAGTCCACACAAAAGCTTTTATGGAATGTGTAAGTCCATTTTATTCACAATATCCTGCAACTAGAAAGAATCCAAGGGTCCTTTTTGGAGTTTTGAGAGGATGCCTTCTCTGAACCTTTGAGGGGTTCAGAGCCCAGCGTCCGCAGTGTTCGAATGGATAAACAACTTGTGGTGTCCCCATACAATGGCAAACTACTCACCAATGACAAGAAGGGATCTACTGACATCCACTCCAGTGACTATGAGAAACTTAATGTTGCCCCAGCGTGGCTTGGCCACCTCTGACAGTGCACAACTGTTTTTTTTCCCCCCAGTTCCTCAATACAGTCAATCCAGATATCTTGTCCTCTCTGCTGTAACCACTTCCTGGTAACCCCCTACTGACAAGACAGAGAGATACAAGCTACAGGGTTCATCCCACGAACCCCACACCCTCCATGGACTGCATAGATCTGCTATAGTGACTGCTCCTAAGTCCCAGCATAGAACCTAAGCCTGCTGGCTCTGAACAAACTAAGTAGAAGCCCTCTTGGAACCCCTGCTGGGGACTAACACCTTGGATCTCAATAAAGGCTCCTGCCCACAGATCCATCCCTCTCTGCTTCCCAGCTGCTGGCTGAGACAAGGCCCCCATGAGCTACCTAACCCCCTCATCAGCACCCCTCTCCTCTCATGGTTTATAAGTAATATACAACTTTTGTTATTCCATGGGCTGTATTGCATTGCCTGCTCTGTTTGGCCTTACTGCAGTAACACCCCAGAACCTTTTTCTCTGGCCAGGACTCTCATAGAGCCATCTACCTTGGAATAAACTGGACACAGGTCAGACATGGGTCACCTGTCAGACTCTTAAGCATTAGGCCATCTCCGAGTGTACAGAAGTATCTGGTGGAAAACACACTATGGACACTCAAGACCAAATTCCCTGGAGCCTTGTCAAGACAAGGCTGCTTATAACCAGTGTCCAGAGGGGGATTTCAAGAACAAGTCAGAGGAAAATACAACACACACACAACCACATGGGTGAATCTCAAAAGCATTGTGCTAAAGTAAAAAGAAAGGGGGGCCGATATCACAAACAAAAGAGCACATACTGTTTGGTCCTATTTATATGGAATTGTCAGAGGGGCAGACCCAGGAATAAAAATCAGAGTGGATGACTGGAGCCCAGGTAAAGAGGGATGAAGGACTGACTGCAAAGGAGCAGGGGACTGTTTTGGGTCTGGTAATGCGCTTCTCGAACGGGGGCACCGGCCAATCTGGTGTTTTCATCAGCCAAAAGTTATGAGACTGTATACAATACTAACAATTTATAGTATTTATTTTATATAAATAATAGCTCAAGAAAGTAGTTCCTTGGTCTTGTTTGCATTTTTTTTTTTTTATGTGAGCGTCGCTGTGAAGCATGAAGGAAAGCACAAGTGGAAGGATTTTGCTTGTAAGCGTCCAAAAACATGATTTGGAAGGAAAGGCGGTTGGCGGACTCTCCTCCCTGGGGCACCCGGGAAGTTAGTGGAACGTTCTCTCGCCAGGGGGCAGCGTCGTACCGCGCCGGCCACACGTCCCTCCGGTCCGGGGCGGGGACCCAGAGGAACGCGGGAGGCGACCCGCCGCGGCCTGGCACGCCGAGCTCCGCCTAGGAGCCGCGATTCGGGGTGCTGGCAGTGGCAGAGGAGCGAGGAGCGGCGGCTGCGACGCCGCAGTGCGCTGCTGGAGGACGGCGTCTTGCAGGCCGGGCCCTCCGCGCAGCGCTCCCGGGGCAGGGGCTCAGGTTCCATCACCACGCAGCCCCCAGACTCACAGGGGACTCCCGGAGAAGAGTGACACCACACACCCCTTGTTGCTGAGCTACCCAGAGTCGGTCACCTATCCCCAACCTGCGCAAGTCGAAAATGGGCAGAAAGAACCCAGGATTTTCCAGAATGAAATCCGCGGCAGCGAGCCGCCCCCCGGAGTACGCAGCGCCAGGGGTGAACCGAACGTGCTCTGCGACGCCACTTCCCCCATGACGTGCCTGGGCGCCCATCTCCTCGCTTACCCTCCACGCAGTAAAGCAGGTCATCTTGTCACAGGAAACCCCCGGCAAGGGGAGCAGTGATTGCGGTTCCCCCCGCCCCCCATCCTGGGGCTCGAACCCACGGCCTCACTAATGCTAGGGAAGGGCTTTACCACCGAGCTACACCCCCAGCTCAGGGATGGTCTATCCTACTACGATCGAGAAGTGTCACCGTGTAACTGTCCTCGTGCTAAAGGGCTGCTCACCAGGCGTTGCTCGCCCAGGAGGGGCTGCTAGCAGAAAGAGCCTGAAGGCCGGCGGATCCGATCGGTCACCGGCGGCTTGCAGCCTGCGGCCTGAAGGACTCAGGGCTTCCCCATGATTCCCCACTGTGACCATCGCTCGCCGCAGGATCGTGGGGGAAGGCACACTAGCGGCCCCGCCCGTGCGCTCCTTCCCATCCCTCTCTGCCCGGTCTGGAGCACTGCGAGACTTGCCTTATTCCCTGGTGGCTCTGGTGAGGCCAGGCCGCCTACCCCCCGCCCCGCCCTCTGTCCTGTCGCAGCCCGGCTGCCGCGCCTGGGGTGCAGGCTCTCGCCCGCCCTCCCGCCGGACGCCACCAGCGCGGCAGGTGTGGCCCAGAGGCAGCGCGCGGGTGAGTCGGCCCCAGCCTCTCCCAAATAGCTGACAGGGGTAGCGGGGGGAGACAAGAAGGCCAGCAGTTGTGTCCACTTGTATCTTTGCTAGTAGTGCTAGAGCCCGAGAAGGAAGGCAGAGGAGCCATGGACGCCCACGTTCTCGCCGGCAGCTTTCCCCAAGTCAGGGTCCGCAGGCTCTGAGCATTGCCCCTCCCGAATTTAGGGAAGATGGGGCTCGCGGTTCCATTTTCTCAGGAAAGGAAACCGTGGGTTTCACTCCACTTGAGAGCACTGGCTCTGGGCCCAGACAGAAGCCTGGGCTTGAGTCTTCTCCTGCGACTGGATTCGGCTTGGGAAGATGGTGTTCTAGGTGGTTCCATAACCTTACAGTGTCCCCATGTATAAAATAGGGGCATAAAGATGCCTCACTGGGTTCCCATGAAGTTGAAACCAAAAGATACTGCTATTTGCTGAGTGTGAAACCTGGGAAGGATATCAGCTTCCTGTGTTGGGGACTACTCTTCAGGCCAGATCTGTCCCCCAAGTGACAGGATGTCCTCCTGGCCCAGGAGCTGCATGGGGGCATGGAGAAAAATAAAGAAAGGCAGATCTAGCTGCCAACACCGAGAGCTTCCTTGTTGATGGCATGGGGGCATCCTCCTGGAGCATACTGGGCCACAGGGACAGCTGCTGCTTTCCTTAAAGAGGACATTCCTCACTGTTTCTGCTCAGATGTCATTACTCACACCTTTGCCTCAGAAAACTGGCAACCACTGTCAAAATCATTAACACCCGAAATCTTCCTGTTGCAGAGCAGTGTCCCCATTTTGTAAACTGGTACTTCGAGGTCTTTGAGGGTTAAATGATGTACCCCAGTTAATGGAGATACTTGCTCTCTTCCACTCTCCTTGATGTGTGCTTAATTCTGTATTGCATTCTCCGTCAATCAAAGGATAAATGTAGGCCCATTAGCCAGAGGAAGGAAGCAGCCCACTCCAGATCTTCAGATGCTTTCAGGGTGGAGCACCTAGCAGAGTTTACTACAGCCTCACTGAGGTTAAGGTGAGAATGAAGTGTCACACTAAACAGGAGAAGGAATTCTGGAGAGCCACTCACTGTCTGCCCCTGGGATGGACCCCGGCGATTGAAACAAGATCTTGGCCTTCAAGGATATTGTCCTTGAGCATATGGGTGGGAGAAGCAGTATTTGGTTGTTGCGCAGCGCCTCTCCCTCAGTCTTAAAACCTGCTCAAAAAGCCGGCTCTGAGTAGGGACAGAAATATTTTAGGAACCGCCATCCTCTCTGTAAGCAACTACCCAGGAACTTTGTCAGGAAGTTTGAATTTGAAAGTAGGGATCTTCCTTGGAATGAGCTGCATGCGATGGCAGTCCCAGAGCAGATACCACACATTAGGCTCCTGAGAAACCTGGGGCACCAGTAGCCAGCGCGGGTCCTCTGACTCATGAGCAGGAGGACAAGCGTCTGTTTACCCAAGTCTGCCCCAGCAGTCTCGTCCTTCTTCCTTCTCTCGCCCCACGGATGTGACTTCTTTCCAGGCCTCCCGCGACCAGCACGTGGTTCCCTCTTGGCTGCACTCCAGCCACAGACGTGGCTCTCCCTGCTGCCTGCCCTACACCTTCCCCAGTCTCCGTGGCTGCCCCGCGTGCTCCCCTACCCCACAGTCCAATCTCCGTGCCCCTTTATTCTTAAGTCTTCTCTCCCTTGCCTTCTGGGAAACCCACAGCCAGAGTCTTAGGGAAAAGCAGGATTCGGACCGGGCATATCTGTTTGCTCACTGTTATTTCAGTGAATGAGCAGACTCGCGTTCTAATTGGGTTTAGGTGAATCTGCCCCCCTTGATCACCAGGCAAGAGATGGCTGGAAGGACCGCCCCTCCAGCCTGGCCTTTGGCTTGGAGAGCTGCTGAGAGGGCAGCTGTGGGGGATTGGGGGCTTGAGAACTCTAGTGTTTGTGATGGTCAGTGACCCCCACATGACCAACCCCTTGGAGGAACTTCCTGTTCTTGATAAAAGGGCCACAGTGGCCCATCCAGGATTGGACCCAAGGGGTTGAGACTCATCCCAGTGGATCCCAGCCCTGGGGGACCTCTGCCAGGCAGGGCAGTGAGCAGACAACTGTCAGTGTATGGTGCGGTGTAGAACGTCATATGGAGTTCTTTGGAAGGCGAGTTAGAGAGCCTTCTCAGGGGTCCCACCAGTTGAAGCAAAATGGATTATGAGATCAACCACTTGTTATGTCTGCATCATCCCCCCCCCCCCCGCACCCTTTTCATTCCACAACAGCCCTGAAGTAGGCACTCATTTTACAGAGGAGATACAAGTTGGGGTTAAGATATTACTCTCACCACCAGCATGTGACAGAGCACAGACTTGAAACCTGGGTTGCTTGATGCCCTAGCTGGTCTTAACCTTCGTGTTACCAGTAGCATAATAAGAAAAGGAAACCACATGAGCAAAGAAGTTGAGTGAGAGATGGTACTGAACACAGAAGGGGCTACAGAAGAAGTTCCACTGGTAACTAAGTAGGAGTAGAGACTAGAGAGGACAGGGGGCTGTGGAGGATCTTGTAAGCCATAAACAGGACTTGGTGTGGTCCTGAGGGTGTGGGGCCTGCCCCCTCCCATCTAGAGACTTTGTATAGAGCATAATTGGGTCTCTCTGGCTGCAGGCAGGAAGATGGATGGAATGGAGAGGGAGAGTGGAGGTTTGGGTGCAGTCTGCTTTGGATCTTGCTTCTCAATGTATTTCTCCATGTGCACACAGAGAAACTGATTCCTGCTGTAAGACACACCAGATAGTAAAGGAGGGGGTTGTATTCAACTACAGGCAACCACCCTGAGACTCCAGCCATCTGAAGTCCTGCACAGACACGAGTAGGGGTGAGGAATTCCAGGCAACATGTACCCCAGTTATGACATGCTTAGACTCGATAGATGAGTGACAATGGATGGGGACTAAAAGCTGGATTCAAGGAATGATTAAAAGCAAAGTTGGTGTTGCATAGTGAAGGGAGAGGGAAGATAATTCCTGGGATGGGGGACTGAACAACTGGACAAATTATATTTCTCTCCCTGCTGCAGGGAGCATGGGGACATGGCTGATTCATCATGGGGAAGATGATGAATAATGTTTGGCTACCCTGCACTTGAAACAGGTGCAGAAGCCTAACAGGCAGTGGGGTCAAACAGATTGGGTCCAATGCTTAGTTTCACCAACTTACTAGTTCTGTTACCTTGGGGGGAGTACCTGTTAATTATTGTACAAGATAGGATAATCATAGGGTTATACAGTCATTGTGAGAATATAATGAGATAATGAGCAGGGCACAGTGGTGTTTGTGCCTGTAGTCTCAACTACTTAGAGGATTAGTTTAGTCCATGAGTTTGAGGCCATTCTGGACAATGTAGCAATACCCTATCTCTTGAGATGGGTAAGGGACAAAGAAGGGAAATATGTCTAATAAATGGCAATGCTATTATTAGAAATTGAAACCATGAGAATAAATGAAATGGTTTAAAAAGAGTGTGTATGGTGAGAAGTGACATTTGAGGAGTGGACAGAGGAAAAGAAGCTTAAGATCAAATGGACAGAGAAAGAGAAGGAAAGCCAAGAGCACCTGATGCTTTGGATGCCACTTGTAGGAGCCACACAGTTGGTTGATCCACCTCACTTCCATCTTCCTAACAAAGTCAGAGTCAGAGCAAGTGTCCTCCTCTCAAGGGTGCCTTGGAGGAAGCAGCCCACAATCCCAGTGCTGACCCTCAAGGCAAGTTGTCAACAACAATCCCATTTCCCTTGCAAGTTACTGGCTTAAGAAGATGTAGTTGATACAGTTCTGTGTGGTAGAACTTGGTAGAATGTCTTCTAGGGGACTTCAGAAAATATTTCCTTGATTTTTTTTCTCTTTCACCAGTACTGGGGATGAAACTCAGGGCCTCATACATTCAAAGCAAGTGCTTCACCCCCAAACTATATCCCTAGTTCTTTATTTTGAGATGCCCAGGTCAGCCTCCAACTTGAAATCCTCTTGCCTCAGCCTTTTGAGTTACCCAGATTTCAGGCGTGCTCCACTGCACCTGGCCAAGATTTCCTTGATCTTAAAAGTTGTGTGTGCACATCAAAACCACAATAAGATGACACTTCTCAGCTACTAGAATGGCTAGACTAAAAAGCTGATGGTAACAAATGTTGGTCGGAGTAAGGAGAAATCAAAACTCACACACAGTTTTATTGGGAATATAAAATAGTACAGCAACTTTACAAAACAATCTAGCAACCAAGTACAGTGGCACATGCCTGTAATCCCAGTGGCTCTGGAGGACAAGGCAGGAGGATACAAAGTTCAAGACCAACCTCAGCAACTTAGCAAGGCCCTAAGCAACTTAGCAAGACCATGTCTCAAAATAAAAAATAAAAGAGGGCTGGGGAATGGGCTCAGTTGTAAAGCATCCCTGTATTCAATCCCCAGTATTAAAAAAAATCTGGCAGTTTCCTCAAACAATTAGACACAGAGTTACCATATGACCTCCACTCTTAGGTATCTATTGAGAGAAAGGAAAACATATCCACACAGAAACTTGTTATACAAATATTTATAGCACATGCATGTAATCCCAGCAACTTGGGGAGCTGAGGCAGGAAGATGACAAGTTCAAGGCCAGCCTCAGCAATTTAGCAAGTCCTTAGCAATTGAGCAAGATCCTGTCTCAAAATAAAAAAGAAAAAGGGCTGGGGGTGTGGCTCAGTGGTTGAGTGCCCCTGGATTCAGTCCCCAGTAATACCCTCCCCCAAAAGAAAGAAAGAAAGTAATCTAAATGTTCATAGCAAGATTATTCATATTAGCCAAAATGAAAACAATTCAAACGTTAATCAATAGATGAATGGATAGACAAAATGTGGCACTGTGTGTGTGTGTGTGTGTGTGTGTGTGTATATATATATATATATATATATATATATATATATATATATATATATATATTGTATACACACTGGA